TAAGATATCCTTATGCAACTCAAGCCTTCTTTGTATGTTAACATAAAGTAGCCATTAGTGGTGGTGGAAAGTACTATCAAGTCACAGCCGACACATGGCAACCCGTAGGATTTTCAAGGCAAGAGACATTCAGAGGGGGGTTTGTCATTGCCTGCCTCTACGCTGCGACCCTGGGCTTCCTTGTTGGTCTCCCATCCAAATACTAACCAGGATCGACTCTGCTTCACTTCCAAGATCTGATGAAATCAAGCAAGCCTGGCTCATCCAGGTCAGGGCAGCCATTAGTATCAAGCCCTATTTACTCCAGACCCTGCGTTGTGCCATCCTAAGCAGAGTTACACCCTTCTAAGTCCATTGAATGTAACTATTAACAGCTCAGCACTGAACGATGCTAAGGGTTCAGAACAAATTACCCAAGGTGTCCTAAATTTTCTGATGTGCTTTCCAACAAAAAGAATGTACAAACCTTACAATCTCTGTGACAAAAATAATAATATATTTGTTTAAACAAACAACCGCAAAGCAGTACAGGGAGCATATATTCCTTTCCCTTCCTATGCAAATAAGCCCCCCCCCAACTCATGCTCTTATGACATCTCTTGAAATTATGCCATTTATAGCTTTCCTGATATATTTGTCACTAACATGCAAAATTCTGGCAAACTCTAAAATGTCTCCTCTAGCAAGAAAGTTTTTCTCAGTAAGTGGAAACTGACTTGTGCTTCTGTCATTTTTTTTAACTAATGAAGTGCATTGGGAAGAAGACAGTAAATAGATCTGGATGGATAAAATAACTGCTAGAAAGGATTTTTTAAAAAACAAAATAAAACAAAGAGAAAAATGCAAACACTATTTCACAATTATGGAAGAAACAATTCTGAAGACAAAACATTTGCTGTTTCCAGAATGAAAAATGAGCAAAGGAAATTAAACTTTGAAGGGGGGAAAAAAGAGTTTGGAGACAAGCACTAGAGGAAGACAAACCGAGGCACTATATAATATCTACCAGACTACAAAGAATATCCTGGAAAATGAAAATAACAAATTGCATTTTTTAAAAAACCTTAAGGGCCACTGGGAGCAATCCACAAACTAACGATTTGAGAGCTTCAGTTTAACAAGTTTAAAGCAATAGGAATAACCTGGGCTTAAATTCAAGTACTGTCAGTTTACCTAATGTAGATTGTTAACCTAACAGTGTGAACAATAAAATTACTTTGCAAATGTCTCTTCCTGGCAGTTTGGTTTGCCATCCCCCAGTAGGGCGGGGGTCCCCCTGGTTTGCATACTCTTCCCCCATTTTTTAAATCATTGGCAGCAGGAGACAAAATGGTGTCCATCAGGTGACACTCCCTCCTAGTCTTTATGGTAGCCATGGAGAGGAGGCTAGAGCATCATTGTTACTGGAGGACTCTGCTGCGTTCTTCCCCCTGCATTTTCCCTGTGCACAGCTTTATTGGGCTCTGAGACTGTGGTCAGCAGGCCGCCTGCTATAAAGATGGTCCCCAGCTCACAGCAGCCCTCCTGCCCTCATTCAAGGCAGGATGAGCTGGGGGCTGTTGCAGCTGCAACTGCTGTGTCTTGCTGCTGCTGCTAGGCTGCCCGCACACAGACTGGTCTGACTTGGACTGAGTTGTTGGACAGGGTTGCTGCTGCTGCATGGCCCCTCACCTCCAAGCTGATTCAGTCCCATGCACACAGGAAGCCGACTTGAGGTCAGTTTGACTAAAAATGTTTAAGATCTAGCTGCTTGGATAAGAAGCCTAAAAAGGAGGAGGGGACCCTTGTGTATTAAGCATGTAGTCCTTTCCCCTTCCCTCTGCTTCAGATTCATTGCTGGCTTGGGCAGATAAGCGTTAACAAGGAAGCTATTGGCATGAGGGGGGGATTGTCCCTGGGTTTCTATCAGCCTGTACCTCTGCTTGGATGTCTTGCACTTCAGCTTTGTTTGATGATTTAAGCGTAATGGTCACTATAGTTCTCTCTTTAAAGAATACAAATTAATGATGCATGTGAATGAAGTACAATTGCATTAACAATCTTAGGTATTTATTTTGCGGAAATGTTAACCAGTATAAAGTGATACATTCATAGCTATTAGGGAGAGGTTGCGAAACCACAAGACATAAGAAAATCTTTGTTCGTGTTCAAATAGAAGGTGCATGGCTGTGACTTATCTGTCTGGGTCAATCTTTGGAGGTGTTTTCTGTGGTAAAACGTCTAAGAGGAGGTAGTTGCTGGTATGATGCTTAGTACCCTGAAGGTGACATTACAGGAAGGAGCAGGGTTTTGGTACAGTGTGCTATAAGTTACATCATTGGAAGGATGTGGAGCTTGGGAAGTGACATCGCTTCACCTTTGACCTGGAAGTGACATCACAGGACATGACATCACAAACTGATGTCACATCCTTGCTAGGTACCACCAGGGCCGGCCCGAGGTTGGCCTGCGCTCTAGGTGACCGCAGAAGCCAACCTCCCGGTGGGGCCTGGAGATGCGGGCGGTGTGTGTGGGGGGGTCTGGGTGTCCCCGGCCCTCCTCCCCCCGCCGCCGCGCAGGAGATGCCGAGGAAGAAGGCGGCAGCGGTGGGGGGGGCGAGGAAAAGGAAAGTGCCGCGCCAAAGAAGGGCCACTCCTGCCTCCCGCCACGGCCAGCCTTACTCCCCCAGCTGCTGCTGCGCGGGGCTCCTGATGCGCCAGGACTGGCGGCTGCCCCTTCGCCTCGGTGGGGCCTGGAGACGCGGGCGGTGTGTATGGGGGGATCTGGGCATCCCCGGCCCTCCCCCCCCGCCGCTGCCACCACCGAGCAGGAGAGGCCACGGAAGAAGAAGAAGAAGGCGGTGGCGGGGGGGCGGAGAAAAGGAAAGCGCTGTGCCAGAGAAGGGTCACTCTTGCCTCCCGCCCTGGCCGGCCTTCCTCCACCGGCTGCTGCTGCGCGGGGCTCCTGAGGCACCAAGACTGGTGGCTGCCCCTTTGCCTCGGTGTCTGCCTGAGCGCGTGTGTGCTCACTCCCCGGAGGGAGGCTGGAGACGCAGCCAATCAGGGAGCCCATGTGGAGACCCCTGGGGGGGCGGCAGAGAGAGGAGGGTGGCGGAGGGACAATGCGGGAAAGGAGGAGCCCTGCCCAGAGAAAAGGCCCCTCCCGCCCCCCCTCAAGTTGGGCAGGAGAGGCCGAGAAGGGCGGCGGCGGCAGCAGCGGTGGCGGCGGGGAGGAGGAAAGCGCCGCACCCTGCCTGGAGAAAAGGCCCCTTCCACCACCACCCCAGCCAGGCAGAAGGGCGGCGGGGGCAAGGGGAGGGAAGTGCTGCGCCCTGCCCACACTGGCGCTGGTCGCGTCATCCTCCTGCAGCCGGGCTGCAGAGCTCCTCCCAGCCCCGCTCCTCCCAGCTGCTGGCCAGGCACGTTGGCGCCCCTGCCTCTCCTCCCACGCCCTGACGGCCAGCTCACGCTCTAGGCGAAGGCCTAGTTCGCCTAGTGAGCGAGCCGGCCCTGGTTACCACCCCCAAAATCTCCTGGCTCCACCTCCAAAGTCCCCCGAATTTTCCCAAGTTGGACCTGGCAACCCTACTGGCAGTGATGAGTTCTGGACACAACTTTCTAAACAGGCCTTTTGTTTGGCTTGTCTTCCTAGCATTTCCTGTTTCTTTACTGCTCAGAACAAAAACGGCAGAAGATAAATATCCTACTGATCTCCTACCTGCCAGCTGCTCCAAAGGGCCAGAAAGATCTTTATAACAGAGTTTCATGCAGCAGGGAACTACAGATGAAGGGAGTCAGTAGAAACTAGAAAATTCCAGTTCAATGTGCTTTCTAATTTGGTTAATCGTCTCCTTGATGATTATTGTAACCTACAACTTAGAGATAAGTTTGAGAAAGACACTACATTTCCTTTTATTTATGTAATATAGTAAATGACAAAGGGAGCTCTGACTCTCTCGAAAACGTATACCCCAAAAATCTTGGTGCTATTGTCCTTGAATCTAAAAGTAATACCTGAATATTTTAATGAATTTTTGTATTGCCTTTAAAATGGTTATCCTTTTCCTGTAGTGATTTTGCAATACCCATGCTGATTAATGATCTATCAGGGCTATTACCAATGCTGGTTATACCTACTAGCCAGGGAAGGGACTGAGAGCAGCATCCTATATAAGTGGTGTGACCCAAGCTGAAAAGAGGCACTTTTGGGTCTGGCTAGTGAAAGAGAAAGTGACTGGATTTTTGGAACTGTTGCTCACAAGCAGCAGCCTCAGGAGGTACGCAGCTTCACATCTACTTTTGATGGAATGCATGATTAAACTTCATCACCCTTCTCTCCTCAACACAGGTGTTTCACGGTGCTCTCGTTTCTTTCTAAAAGCAAGGAGCCAGTCCTGGCTCGCCTCCATCGCAGCAGGATGTGCTTCAGAAAAATCCCAGAATCATTACCTTTGGGTCTGCAGTGGGGTGACTGTTTGGAAATAGCTGATTCCATCACAAAAGAGGGTTTGCCTTGGGACCTCCTATGCTGTTGCAAGTGCAGTCATTTTGTAAATGGTCTCTCCTCTCACACCACCCATTTTGTTGTGGCATCCACGACTCTTTCTTAAAATTCCAAAAGTACCAAAGATTCAACAAGCTTGGGAACCTCTGTATTAGGCACATGAGTGTCATTATGGACTTGCTGTGATGGAAGCGTCATTTCTAATACATGCTTTACCCCTTATACCCTTTTTAGTGACTTCAATTTACAGGAAAAGCTTCTGACCAAGATGAATCATCACTGGCTATAACCAGCATGAATTGTTTTTTATTTAGATGGACGACTTTTAAAAAAATTGATAACAATTGGCTCTGGAATTAGGCCAAAAACAGTTGCCCTGAAAATACTTATTACTCACAATTGAAATCAATGGGTCTATTAAATAATGGAATTTCCAATACAAATGAGACTGGGGATGGGTAGGGTAACTAGACAAGACGAGCAGCTTATTAGCACATGATAACACCATGCACACTTACCCTGTTCAAGCAGTACTTGCTGTCCTTTCTATAGAGATGCTGGAGACATTTCATGTTTTGTCTGTCTACAATCTTGCTGAAGAATTCATTGATGGTTTTAATAGAGACTAAGCAGACAGCAGATTTATGAGATGGTTCTGAAGAGTCCGGTTTACTTTGGGCAAAAGCACCATACAAAATATCATCTTTCATATCAAGGTTCATTTCCTGGGCTAAGGCTGCTCCTGGCTTACCAATATATGCAGCCTGCAAAATATTAAATACTTCATTTGATTGCTTGGTTGACCTCTTCCTACGTTTTTCAGTGTACATACACTCAAGTGGCATTTCCATATATGAACGCAACTCAGAATCTAAAGAGCAGAACCGTATGATCCTTGTGTGAAAAGCCTGGGAATGAAGAGATTCTTTCTGGACAGTGAGAAAGTATACAAAGTGGTCCTTCTCGAATGCATGAATATACTTAATGGGGTAGGAATCCCTGAATTGTGGAAGGATATCAATATACGAGTCAGCTGTGAGAAACTCAAATCCATCTAGGCTTTCTTTTAATCTTCGAACTGATATCGAGTGCAGTAAATGGTCTGGCTGAGATGAATTCACGACTGTATTTCCAACATAGAAGTTCACAAACCTGTCCTTTTCCGTTATCAGAACTTTAGTTCCTGAAGGGCTTACCACACAATCAGGACATTGGCCTGACTCATCATACACGTGCTTTGAGTACATACACTCCACATCCTCCCCAATGTCAGCAGGGTTATTAGCATGAATGACATGGCGCAGGCAAGTTCCTTTTGCCACACTACCACAGCTGATGAGCTGATCTTCATAGTAAGTTTCTAAAAGCAAAGCCATGTTGCGGTTATCATTCCAAGAGCTACTGGAATGGTTTGCTCTATGTTTACAGTCTTCACAGGGGGCACAGCCAGGATTCTCCAGCACAGGTCCAGTCTTGTACACAAAGACATTGTGAAGGCTTTCATTTAGGACGTAGATTTTGTTAATTGCTCCAACATAGATATGGCGCTGGTGCAAAACTATATTTTGTACTTGAGTTTCTGCAGTGAAGCTAGGAAGCTGATAGTTGACATTCAGATTCATCTCTGGTCTTGAACCTGCTTCTTTACATTTGCCATGACTCCATGGTACCAAGGTCAACAGAAATACAATAATCCCAGAGGTGGAAGTTACAGAAGGCTTCATTACTGCAGATGTATCCTGTCAAAACATATATTTTGAGAAATGTTAATAATTCACATAGGGAATAATCAGTCAGCTACAGAAAATAAAACAGCCATAAAATTGTTTAACACCTCTCTACGAGGGCAAGCACAGCCGTGGACACAAACCGTGTACCACGTTAAGGTAAGGTAAGACCTGAGTGGTGAAAGCAGCAACAAGAGGACACTCTTCTGGTTGTTCATGATTACATCTTGTTACAGAGGGCTGAGACTGAAACACTAAGGCGCTATGGGGTAAGAAAACCATTATAGCCCCTTATAAGCATGGAGCTCTCAAGGGAGGAAATACCAGTGTGCTTTTCAACTTGTAGTCAACTAACCTTGGACAACCCTGTTTGGTGATTCTGAAAGTCAGCCCTGATTTTTTTTAAACACCTCCATTAAACCCTTAGAATAGAGGAAAGACTTGTCAGTAAAAGGAATCTAATTCAGCTCTTTCAATGTTACAACAAAACCCACTGTATGAATTGGCATTTAAAATGTAGATGTCAACAGACATTTTACACAGACTCTACTATAACATAATATGAAAGTACTTCAGTTTCAATGGATTTGCAATGAATCTACTGTGCATAAAAGATAGAGCAGCCTCCTTTGAAATAGGCTGATACACACTGGAAGTAGTAGGAGGTTGTACTAGCATGTCTATGCAACTTAATACTTAATCCAAGTGTGACGTTATTCTCCCCTCATATAAACGTAATACTGTCAGTCACTATTATTGTAAGAAAAGAGGGTGGCTTGACAAAGGGGAAAATATTTTGCTGTCAACTTTGTGGAAATATTTTATCTTTTCTAGTAGTATGACATTCCCAGTGCCCTAAGGAATGTCATTATTCCAGTATCTGAATAATGTCTTTTCCATGTATTTTGCTTACTGGCTTATGCTGAGAAAACTTTCTTTAAAAAAATCCCCTCAGACCAATAAGTCATGCTGAAAGGTCTTCAGGAAAGAAAGTGTCATTCAGACAAAAGGCGGTTTAAACTGCCTTCATATTTGATGTGGTTTTTCAAAATCAAAGACTCATGACAAGTGATATTTAAAACTGTGACATTTACCAGTGGATGAATTGTGGTTGAAGAAGTGGGTTTTATACCAGCTTTCAACATTACACTAGAAGTCACACCAAACATTGTTCTATTGATACTTAGGCAGTAGTTGCTAAACTAAATTTAGCTTCCTTAGAGGAAAACAATTAAACAGTCTAAATGCAGCAATGACCATATGGTGTTTACAAGATTTTGTAGAAAATATTATTTTGGCTATAGATGAATGGTATTGTTCTGCTCACAACAGTAAGATCATAAGCATCTTTGATTTTTAAAAAACTGAAATAAGGCCTTGACAAAGTTAAGAATAATCTCACATGAGTATTTATATTACAGTTTTTGTTTGCCTGATGAATTGATATGGATCCATACAAGAGAAAGATACATCTATTTAGGCAAGTGAAAGACTGATCCATTTAGGCAAGGGAGAGTCTCCCGTTTCTGCTTATTCCCCCTCTCTCTCAGATGTAGCCCTCTGTGGCATATGCAGGGGTCATTTCATAGAAAAAGAGGTGCAGGAGCTCATTAGCATAACTCATTAGCATAACTTAGTTCCATGTGCCACGCCCCCTGACATCACCGGAAGTGTGTCAGAAGGCAACACCCACCGCTCAGGCTCCACTGGACTGTTTTGGATTGCTAGCTACTGGGGGGAGGGAACATGCAGATCTGTCCTCACAGAGGAGGGAGAGCTTGTACCTGAACAAAACTTGGTCTTAAAGGTGCCACTGGACTGTTTTGGATCAGCGGACCGGTGGGGGGGGCGCTCTGCAGCTTACCTGGCTGCTTCTTGCTCTGACTGAGGGCTGCAGGGAGCAAGGGGTGGGACTTATTGCATGTGCCTGCCCCCTGGGCTCTTTACTGCTGGAGCTCTGCTCCTGTGCACTCCTGCAGGAAATGACCCCTGGACATATGGGAAACTGTTCTCGAGTAGCAGTTCTCAACTTTCTTTTTCTTACATCTCACCAATCCCTCTATAAAACAACCTGGGTCCCACCATGATAGAAACAAAAACCCTTACTACACAGCTACACAAAGGTAGGCAATGGCAAATGGCCTCTGTACATCTCTTGCCTTGAAAACCCTATGGCAGTGGTGTCAAACTCATTTATTACGAGGGCCGGATCTGACATAAACGTAACTTTGTCGGGCCAGGCCATGTGTGCCATAAAATGTGATGCATATTACTGGAGATAGAAACCGTATAAAGGACAGCAGCTCGTAAGCTCTGAGTTGGTGTATCCTCACTGCAAGGCCCCATGGGTTGGGAGGAAGGTGTAAAGGAAAACCCACACAGGCAGACTGGGGAGGCAGCACTGCAGCACTGGGCAAATGCTCTCACATTGCTGCGGATGACGTTGTTCTGCAATGCTGAAGCCACGATGGAGTGGCTCTGCCCCCTCCCCCAGCACTTCCTCTCTTGCATCAGTTGCTTGCGGGCCACATAAGAGCCCTGGACGGGCTGGATATGGCCCCCGGGCCTTATGTTTGATACCTCTGCCCTATCGGGTTGCCATAAATTGGCTAGAACTTGATGGCACTTTCCACCACCAAATGTTATTGGTATACAGTTAAATCACAAAGAAAAAAATAATTTCATTAGGAGTTAAAATTGTAATAATACAACTGAGCATAAATTTTACTGCTATAGTAACTGCATAATATATTATACTAACAAACATAATCAATAAAAAATCCCTGAGAGTTTAGTGTCTCTAGCATGCCCAAGGGGGCATTTTACTGCCTCATAAACTGAACCAGTTCATAAGGTGGCTAAAAGTTCATGATGGTTTGTGGTTTGCAAACAGGACACACCACAAACCAAACTGTATTTTTCCAGTTTGTGCCCATCCCTGGTCCTCAGTACTTTACTATTTCTTAAAAGAAGAAGAGTTGGTTTTTATACTCTGCTTTCCTCTACCCTAAGGAGTTTGAAATAATCCTTACCATTGCTTTCCCTTCATCTCCCCACAAGAGTCACGTTGTGAGGAGGGAGAGAGGCAGGGAGGACGGAAGGAAGGCAGGAAGGACAGATCAAAGTTTAAATGTCTTCGTATCCTATATGAAGTATCAGATTGGCCCATCAATATAAATCACTTTGATTAAGTCAAAATTAATATTAGAGCCATAGTGTAAATGAATATTAACAGATGAATCCATTCAGTGACATGAGAATCAACAAATATTATATTTTTTGTAACATCAACAGAAAAATCACCAGTCAGTTATGACAGCCAGGAAAATGGGACGCTGCCTGGAGCAACACTATGAAACATCCAGTATTAGGCTAGGTCCACACATGGTTGGAATGTGCACTACTGTAACTGGATTTTCCTGTCTGGACAAGCCAATCCAGCTGAAAATGTTTGCTAAAATGTAACAACAATATTCTATCCAATGAAAGGTATATCTCCACAAGGAAAGGCACTAGAAAGTAACTTTAAAAAAAATGAACCTGACACGTTATTATACTGGTCTGGTATAAAATTGCTGGTTAAAACAAAAACCTGGGCAAGCCCTGGTGGTGTTAGGGTGGGGTTGATCACTGCTCGAAGACCAATAGGGAAAGTGAGGGGAAACAGCCATATGGAAGTCCCATTGCTACTGTACTATACCAGTATAGCCACTGTAGCAATGGAGAAACCACACCAGCCTGTGTGGAAAACACCTAGACCTCTGTAAAATGACCTTCTTGATGTGCTTTTAGAAAACATCTAAAAGCTTTAGCTAGGGTATAACTTAACAGCTCAACAACATTTGACCTTTACATTCATCAAAGTATTCATGACAATTATTAACCTCAAATGTACAAATACTTTCTTTGAAATCACAGATGAAACACGTTTATGTTTTTGGAATCCAGCTGAATCAAAACTGCAATACTACAGCTCTCCATTTAGATACTTTCCAAGTTCAACATCAGACATCTGAAGAAAAAAAATACAAAGAGCACTAATAACGGCATCATGTTTTGTTTAAAAAAACCACACCCCACAGACAAGACCAAACCCTGCAACTGAATCCACACACCAGCAAATCTGTTTTTAGACAGCATGACCTCCATTCTCTGTCATAAAACAGCCATCTCCTATTGTAAACCACTATATGGGGGCTTGGCCAGCTACCACAAGGGTTGTCAGCAATTACATGCTATTAGAGGTGCAAAAGAAAGCACTGTGGTTGACTTGTTGTTGTTGGAAACATATGCAGGCTGACTAACTTTTATTACTGCAAGTGTGGTGCTAAGTTTTTCTTTTCACTTCTAAGCATAATTCCTGCTGACTGACCATCTAACACAATTAGAGCTATGTATTATGTAGAATGCCTCTGTTTTATGATCAGACTGTCTTGACTGCCACAATCTTTTTATAGAGCACTCCTATACAAAGTTACTCCTGTCTCAGCCCACTAAATTCAATAGGTTTAGACTATAATAGTGTAGGACAGCTTTGCTGAACTCAAACTCCAAACAAATTCAGCCATTTTTCTGAATTCATCTGGGCACTAGCTACTGAGCCATGCTCCTTCTGAGCACCACACATCTTATTCAACTACTGGATTCCTCTTCCTATTTAGAATTCCACAACTGGAACAGACCCAACACATTCTCTTGTCCACAATGTTCTAATGTTGAAAAGTACCATCAAGTTACAGCTCTTATGGCGACTCCATAGGGTTTTCAAGGCAAGATGTTATGTATGGAATGGAATGAGCTTGAGTCTGATGCAAGGTGTTGTAAACCAACCTATCAGAACCAGGGAAGTTCTGGAGGGAAACAAACTGATTGGTCTTTATGTACAGCATATGATTGGTTGTTATCTGACATGTGGGTGTGGCTTGCCAAGCATGGACTGTTTAAAAAGGAGCCTGTTGCTCTGTTGTTTTGTCTCAGTCTGTTTCTTCTGGCTTTGTTGAATAAAGCTGTTATCACTGTTCACCTGCTGCCTCGAGTCTCGCATTCAACAATTAGCAACGAGAATGGGATACTAGAGCGGGTAGGCAGCCCCGCTGAACCAACGCCAGAACGGCAGACGACCAAGAAGCCCCTGAGGAACCTAGGGCAGAAGAACGAGACCCGGCTGATCAAGCGGCTGCAGCACTTGTGCCAGTGCCTGCACCCAGAGCAGTGATGG